ATTCAAGACTTGGGGAAGCAACCTGGAATGCATTCGAAGGCTGAAAATTGCTCTACTGGAAATGATGAGCTGAATCAAAGAAAAAATATATTCTGGAACTTCAGCACGCTTCCATTTCTCACTCCTACAGACAGGTTTGGATGGTCCTGTGGATAATGACAGAAAGACTCTTTCCACAGATTCCCATTCTAGACAAAAAAAAAATCTGAATGTTTTTCTAATAGCTCCTGAAAGAAAGATTTCCTTTTCCATTGTGGCTGGGTGTGCAGGGGTGCTAGTTAGGAGGACAAATATTGAGGCTGATTTTTGTCAATTTTTTCATTGGCAAGTAGCAACCTACTTCTTATTTACACTGCAAAGTCACAGCGAGGATTGAAAGAGAAGCTGAACGGAGCATTTTTCACTGCAGGCTGCACACACATTTCTTTGTTCTTGCATCCAAACCCATCATCTTCGGAAAGCAGCTTATGCTTGATGTTGCCAATTTCCGTGTGTTTCCGTGTGCATGAGCTGTGGTTTAAAAGCCACTTCCTCTTTCAACCTGTTCAACTCTTCCCCTTGTTCCGTTTTTAGGTGTTGACCTACAAGTGTGATACTATGAGAAAAAAACACTAATGGAGAGAGCTGACCTCTGCCTTTTCCACTGATCATTTCCTTACCAAAATAGTTTATCTCCTATTTACATCCTCTGCTCCTTGTCTCCTTTCTATTTCAGTAGCTGGTCTGGCGCCCATTTCTAAAGGATGATGCATCTGCATCACTCAGGCATTTGCTGCAGGAGCATTTCCAGTGCTTCAGAAATGTCTCAGCGTCGTATGAGTCAGCCGTCATGCGTTTGGGAGCCGATGTTTTCTGTTGCACTTGATAGCTCAGTGAAGGGCGGAGTGGGGATCACTGGGAGAATTAGTGCTGGGAGGTGATTGTTTGGAACTGGAAGCGAACAAGACAAGTGCCTAAAATGGCCACCTCCAGCAGTCACTTGTGAATCACGCCTGCACTGGCCAGGGCTGTCTGCCGTTGCCTGGAAAACACGTGGTTTCTTTTGGGTGCAATTTAAAGATGTTATTGGGCTGAGCTTGAAATGTTTCTATGCTACAATGCCATAGAGTGACAGATGTGACCTCGCTATGTTTCAAAGGCCACTGTGTTAGAGCAGGGGTCTAAAGTTTAATTTCCACAGTCCCTTTATGTGGCATTTATGGGCTCGTGACTGGGCTGAGTTCAGCTCTGGGGCAGCTTAATACCAAAGAGCTACTGACAGGTGGAGAGAAACGTAGAGGAGGAGCGGGCTGGGCAGACAGGGACCTGTGTCCTATGACTACATGTGAATAATGAGAAAGCAATTACCGAGAGCAGTATGAGGAGTTACACATATAACATGTGTAACATGTCAGGAATAAAAAAAGAGAGAAAGGGAGAGTTTTGGTACCGGAGGAGAAATCCTCCATGTGAGAATTTCCAGACTGAGCAAATAGCCCTCATGGGAAAGGAGCATAACTGTTTTTTTCCATGGGAAATTCAAAATGTTGGACTCAAGAAGGGAGATATCTTGCAGAAGAGATCCAGCCTCAGTCCCCTGAGAAGGACTAAGAGAAACTACTGGTTTTTTGTCTTTAACTGATGATGATTAGATTTTGTTAGGTTACTTCCTCCCCCCTGGAAATGAAACTGCTTATATTTGAACAACCCACAGATACTTTGAGAAAAACACCAGCTTGATTTCCAGGCAAGAAAAAAAATAAGGTTGTGAAAACTAGAGGTGGTAAGAACAACATCTGCAAGAGCATGCCAAAAACACTGTTGTCAGCACAAATCTAGACTGTGCTGAGCAGTATTCAGAACATTCTGAGGAACATTTGATACAAACTGAAGCTTTTTATTCAAAAACAACTGTTGCAACTGTGCTTCTACTTGATGGCTCTAAAAACAAGAAAACTATCAGGTTTGTGAAAACTAGAGGTGGTAAGAACAACATCTGCAAGAGCATGCCAAAAACACTGTTGTCAGCACAAATCTAGACTGTGCTGAGCAGTATTCAGAACATTCTGAGGAACATTTGATACAAACTGAAGCTTTTTATTCAAAAACAACTGTTGCAACTGTGCTTCTACTTGATGGCTCTAAAAACAAGAAAACTATCAGGTTTACATCCTTTTTTTTTTTTTTTTTTTTTTTAGTGATCAAACCTGGTTCGCATCTTCAGGTCACACCTATAACAGGAACACTTCTCACTCTTAAGGAACATTTTTTCTAAGCTGTGTAAATCCTTTCTCACATTACTTGACCTGGAAAATAATTGCAGAAACTCATAGCAGACCTATGTCTGTGCCACTAAGTAAAACCAGGCCAGGAGGCAACACATTATTTAACTGCTAGCAAGTTTCCTGGTCTGATTTTAGCCTGTGCGGTCACCCAGACAGATAAGGAAGATGGGGATGGAGGGCGGGGGGTCTCTAGACACCACCAAGGGTGGACTCGTCTCCACTGATACTTCGTTTGTCCATGAACTTGGGTCTTCTTAGCGGAGCAGGAGCAATGGTGGAGGCAGTCCTGAGACATGGGATATACTCGCTGTTTAGTTCTGTCCCTGGAGCTGTTCCAGCAGGGCCAGGGCAAGCAGATGGTGTTCTTGTGGGACCAGACCCATGATCAGAAACGATGCTCGGCTGTCACCCAGCGGCTTACGCTTGCAAAGTGCCTCATCTAGGAGCAGTCTGAGCAGAAGATCAGGTGGTGGATCCTTTAGGATACTCCTGTCTCCATACAGGTTCCCGGAGCTGGGTCAGCCTCCCTGTGCCCAGCCCCAGCTGGGCTCTGGGGTCCGGGCAGTGGCGAGGGAAGATAGGCTGAGCCAACCTTTCTTCCTTACTCATTTCTGGCCTCATGGACCACTGTGGCCTCCTTCCTTCCTGCAGAAGTGTGTTTTCTTGGAGGGTTTTGTCTCCTTTGGTTATTATACATTTTAAGAGTTTTTTAAGAGTTTTTATTTGTGCTTCAGGCTTTCACATAGAGGATCTTTAAGACTGGAGCTAGTGGCAATCTGGTCTGTAGGGGTGGATACAACGGCCAAATATCGTTTGAGGAAGAGGGAATCTATGAGTAGCAGCTGCTTGAGTGAGAAAGACGAGGGGCTTGGGGGGCAGCCAACATGTTTTGTGAGATAAAGTGGGGTTGCCCATGTGGGGTGTGCAGATAGGGAAAGGAGGGGACATGCGGAGTGGGAGAGATGAGCAAGACCAGCCCTTTGCTTGTGCTGAGGCTGAAGGGCGGCTGCAAAGTTTGGGAGCAGGATTGGGGCTAACCCTGAGCTAGAGGAGCGACCAGGGGGGTGCATGGGAGCGGGGGGCTCACTCCCTCGGCAGCCTGCCCAACACCCCAGGAGCCCCTCGTGAAAGAGCCGCAAGCTGAAGCACTCGCCTGCCGTGGGGCTGGCGCGGGGGAGCGCAGCGGCCACCGGGTTAAAAGGAGGCCACGGACACATCTCTGTTCTAGTTTTGTAGTTGCTGGAGAAAGGTTTCCTTCATTTCGCAGAAGGAAACTCTAGGGATGGCTGTGGGATGAGGAACAAAATGAGGTATTTTGAGGATAGTGTTTTGTTCATTATTACACTGTTTGTGATTCTCTTGTGATTTGGAGCAACCTTGTCACATATTCATTAAACATCTGATCCATCTGTTTAAATTTGATACAGAATTTAAGGAGGATGAAGAATAAAATGTTCATAAAACCCGAGGTCTTGAGAATGATTCTCCCTCGGAAGAGAATTGCGTAGGGCAGAGGTGTGTGTGCTGGAGCAGACCACCTCGCCGCGCTGCCTGCTGCCTCCACAGTGTGACCCGCTCTCTTGACCTGTGTTTGCGCGTGTACCACAGTTGCTACTGTGTAATCTCAAGAGCCTTCCCGTGACAAAGCCCCATGAGCTAATTGGGTGCTCAGGTGTGAGCTAATTGGGTGCTCATGCATGAACACAGTAACCCTGCACTTTATGCCTAATACACCACCTCATGTCTCTGATAGACTCTAACAGATTCAGCCTATGAGCAGTCCCATCCCAGGAGACCCTCTGGGAGACATCTCCCGTCACTGCACAGGTCTGGGATGCCCCCGGAAAGGGCACACTCCAGTTCGGATCCCAGCTTGCTGCTGGATCTCCTCTTGGTGAGGTACGTTAGCTCTTTTAACCCGGCTGCTGGAAGGTCCTGCATTTTCCACCTGAGAGCTCGTTCTGTTCCCTCCTTAGCCAGGAGACAGCGTCCACCCTTCTTGGTTTAAGTAATGATCATTTCATGTCCTTACACATGCAAATGCCTCTGTTTGTTAGACTGGGAGTCATCTCTTGCACTGCTGGGTAGTAAACAACTCTTATCTCAGTGAGGGTTAAACTATTCCTCTCCCTTTGGTATTTCATCAGACAGTATGTTCTGTATCTATATGTGCCTAGCTCAGCACTCACTGTGCATTTTAGTGAGACGTGATGGTGATTGATCCCTTAACCACATGCAGAATTTATTTATTCGTTTCTTAAGTCATTGGGTTTTTTTGGTGGGAAGAGGTAGTAACCAGGCAGGGATTTTGGGTAACGGGTAAGGAACCAAGTTCTCATTGTTCATGCAAATGCTCAGGAAATTAAAAATTTAACCAGGTGCTTTGCCATCATGTAGAGGCTGAAGAAAGGCTTTAATACTTAACAGTGAGAGACTATAGCTCTGTCACCATAGATGCTGTAACGTGGCTTCATGCTGTAACAGGTTTCATTGTAAACATGAAACATGACAGGGAGAGAATGAAGCTTGGGGGCAAAACTGAGGCGGGGGCTTCCCCAGAGGATGAATTAGCTGGAAAGCAGCTAAGGAAGGATCTCGTGTTAGTGCAGCTGCTGGTTTCGAGAGCTGCTGCCGGCGAGCAGCTGACGGGAGGGAGGAGATCAGCCTCTCGCTCTGAAGGGGTTGGTGTGTCAGGTTTCCATGCAGAGCACGTGTGGATAATGCGAGCTGCAAACACTGCTGCCTGCTCCAGCCACCGGTACAGAGCGAGCCGGGAGCATGGGGCAGGTGGCTTGGAAGGGTTTATTTCTATCGCTTTTTGATTATAAAACAGAGAAATACGTCATTGCGAAGAACAAGAAGGTGGGGATTCTCTATCGAGTGGTGCAGCTCTCCATCCTGGCTTACCTGGTGGGGTAAGAATCACCCTGTGTTTCACATACTGCTGTGGTTGCGTTTGCTTGCTGTGTTGTGATGAAGATTAATATCACTCTGCATACAGTGACGGCTTGCTATGCCTTATGATTTTAATGCAGATAGTTATGCTTGTTTATACAGCTGGATTTTGTAATGTCTAATAGATTATATCTGATTTTTCACCTGCTAGGGATTGCTAGATTCAGCTCTACCTTCTAGATTTACATCGGGTTAAAAATAGATCAAATGGCTCTATGGCTTTGTGCTGCATTATTTACGCCTTTATTTCTGTATTCGGTGGGAATGGTGCCAGACCTTAACACCTGACTCATTAGAAACAATAGCATTTATGGCCATGGTTGCTGAGCCTTGGGACAAACCTGGCTTGTCTGCACGGCTGCATGACATGCTCAAGTCTAAATGGGAAGGAACCAAGCACAGAGTGGTAGATGTCTTTGCTGGAGTGGGCTGCAGCAGCCAGGATTGTGGAGGCTGAGGCACCGTGAATGTCGGCTGCCTTGCATTTATTTCAGAGCAGGGCGAGTTGGCATGGAGATAGCTAGAGCACCTCTCAGAAAAGGCCCAGTTCTGCAAGAGGCTGGTCACGCTGACATGTACCGAACACAGCAATACTCCTTGCAGCTTGCAGGCTCAGACCTGGAATTATCCAGCCTCTGTGATGCCTGTGCCGTTGCTTCCTGAGTTTCTGAGGCTTTGCAGAATGTGATTCGTAAGTCTTTACCCTCACTGCCTGTGCTTCTGAGTCCCTTCACCTTTCTCACACCTCATGTTTTCACTGATTAAATATAGCAGAGTCATTTTTACATGCTAGGTTTATTTATAGAAAGGTGTACAGTTCCAGAGCCTGCTTTAGTTAGCAGGTCAGAGATGAAGTCTCAGCAGTCTGGCATGTGTTAGCTGCTAAAGGAGGAATCCTGTAGATAATGTTGCCGTGGACACATCCTCCGTCCAGGAGGGATATAGCATGACCAGTGACTATGAGTGTTCAGAGACTGCCTGGGCCATACTGGCTATTTTCTTCCCTAGGCATCTATTGCCTTCTGCAAACCTTTGGCTGCAAACGGATGGTGCCTGCAGTGACTCCTTTGTGGCTGGGGGCTTACAGCTTATCGCAGAGGTGGTTAGCGTTAGTCTGATGGCTGACTGATTCGTTCCCATACCTGTTCAGGGGCTGGCACGGGGGTTGTGATCATCAAACCCCTCTGGATCGTTTCTTGCACATAGCTGCCATTTCCTCCCCAATTCGCTGTGGGAAATGTAAGGGTCTGCTTTTGAGCCCTCCTGGGAGAGAAAACCAGTGTTCTAGGAAAAACAGGAAAGTAGGAAACTTCGCAGGGGTGGGGAATGTTATTATTCAGGTTTGTCACAAGTAGCAGGTGAAGGGCAGCACATGTCAGTGCTGCTCAGCCCCAGAGATGGCTGCTTTCGCTTTCTGCATGCAGTAGTGCACTCCAGGTCAGTGCACTGCAAAGGGGAGCTGTGCCAGCAAATGCAGCCTGCGTCCCTCCCCCAAAACCTGCCCCGGCACCCTTAGCTTCTTCAAGGGTCTGCGTGATTTGTTATCTTGACAGGTGACTTTGGCAGTATTGTGAGGAAGCTGGAAGCATTTCATATAAGCCGGAGAGGTTTTCACCCACTGATATGGAGCTCTTGCTGCTTCCAGTGGGGAGAAGTAAGCGAAGCCTTTCCCTGGGCTGCTTAGCAAGGCAGCAGCTCTTCCAGGTGTGCTAGTGAGAAGCCTGAAGCCCAGCACAGAGGCCAGGGTGCAGTCAGGTTGTTACCATCGCACTAGGTTACAAAAGATCCTGTATCCAGCCGAGAATATTCCCTACAGGTTTCTGTTAGTAACGTTCAGCTCACCTGCAGGAGTTGCATCTCCCCAGCCATGGTCTGTTGCTGGACTGGTAGCCTAATGGCAGGCTGCTAAAATGGGAGTGAGTCATGTATTTGTGAAACCAACCACACTCTTCACTCTAACTTGCGAAAGCTTATATTATTTTTCATCTTGAGGAAGACAGAGCCCTGCCCTCCCCTCTTTCCATCGAGGTTGCTGAGCATAGCACAGCACAGGGAGGTGAGAGGCTTGGTTTTTTACCCCATGACCAGTTGTTACACCTTTCCTTGCATGTGGGGTCTTGGTCTTGACTCTTCCTCCAGTGCTGTAGATAAGCACAGCTTGTGTCAAAGAGTTTGTTCTAAATTTGTAGTAGTAGTTGCAGAGGGTTTGGTGTCATTGGCATGTTTTGATTTGCCTTTGAACGGTGTTCGGCCTTGGTGTAAATCTTCTCTGACTAACTTGTTCCCTGACCCCACTTGCTAATGCCACTGCCTGCTGTGTTCTTCGCAGGTGGGTGTTTGTTGTCAAGAAAGGCTATCAGGACACAGACACATCCCTCCAGAGCTCTGTCATCACCAAGCTGAAAGGGGTAGCCTTCACCAACACCTCGGAGCTGGGCGAGAGGCTGTGGGATGTTGCAGACTACGTCATCCCTCCGCAGGTTGGCATCACCCCACTGCTATTGTCTCTGCTGTTCAGCTAGAAGGACATCTTCCAGCATGGTTGCTGGTGGAAAGGCTGAATGATGTATCCGGGTCTTTCCTATGAATAAGTAGGAGGTGCACTACAAGAAAGCAATGCTGTGCCTTCTCTTAGGTCTTTCCAGCAAATATCAAAGCAGCCTTGTCTCTCCCGCAAAGGTCTGTGATACTTGGCAAGCAGAACTTTGCAAGCAGAAGTCCTGTGGACTTCGGTGGGGCTGCTCAGCTGAGCAAAGTGTCTGTTTGCCTCCTTTCCTGGGCTAGAGCAGGCATGCTCGGCGCAGCCCAGAGGGAGCGGGAGATGGAAAGAATATGTGGTGCAATTTGAGTTATGAGCGTTGCTTGAAATGTGTCTGGCTAAACCTGTCTTGCTGCCTCCCCTTGACTTGGACAAAGTGAGATGCATAGCTGATGCTTAAGGGGAAAAGATGGCAGCAGATGTGGCCTGGCATCAGGTTGGAAATTGCCCAGCTGTGCTTGCCAGTGGCTGTTTGTGCTTTCCCTGCTAGTGTCTACCACATGTGCATGGAAAGGTGTGAGGGGAAAATCAGGGTGTTGTGCTGATAGCGGGCAGAAAGTGGTAAACTGAACAATTTACTTGTCTGTATGTAAGAATAAGGCTTCACCTTCCTCCTGCTGCAGCCCGTGTTTACTCAGACCTGTGGATCTGTGCTCTGCATCTCCACCAATTTTAATGCAAAGCCTCACAGGAGGCTCTCGGTCTCAGACCGACACGTGCTGTGCAGCAGGAAGGCCAGGCAGGTGCTTGCAGTGCTCTTGTTCAAGCCGTGTGGAAGCTGGGACACGCAGTAGGTGGCTGGTGTGCACACCCAGAAATGAAATGGTGATGCTGACTTGTATTGACAAGTATTTTAACTTTTCAGACATTTCTCCTGCGACTCAATGGTCTTGATACTGTGTGTTGGCTTATTGGGAGGCCTTGTAGTGTGTGTGCCGAGTAAAGATAGCTGTGTCTGCCTCTGGGCTTGTGTGCTCTGCAACGCTATGGCATCATGAGCCAAACATGACTGGGCAATCAGTCTGCAATATTGAATCCAGCACTACTGCAGTCTGCCCCAGCGTACATCAGCCTCCAGCAACCACGGTGATGTTAGAACCTGGGCTCACAGTGAAACTCGGCAACTTCTGTGGACTGTGAACGCAAACGTAGACATCTCACGAGCCTTCCTTTTCCGTGCGCTGATTGCTTGTTCATCTGCTGAATGCCTCAGGTCAGCTGTGAGATGCATCGCACGTGGGTTTTTAGGAGTATCTGAATGCCTGCTACCAGTGCATTAAGTGACTTGCTCTGCTAACTACTGCGTAATCTCTCATTTCGCTTTGGAGGGAGAGCCCTGCGCTGTCCTGGTGGGTCCCTGGGTGGGCTGGTTTGTGCTGGAGAGACCTGGGTAGCGGAGCAGGAGGTCGTGAGGGCTGGGAGAAACCCCGTCTCTTCCACAGAGCAGTGGGCAGCTCTCCTGAGCCCACCAGCACGGCTGCTGACCGACATGTCCCTCCTGCTAAGGGCAGAGGTACTTGTGTCCCACAGCGCTGGTGGGACGTGGGGTAAACACAGCCCACGCAAAGCACAGCGAGGGAAGGAGAGCGAGCCAGGCGAGTGTGAGAGCACCGAGCTTGCTGTCATGGACAGAAACCTGCGATCTCTGATTTTTACATGCAACAGGCAGGGCTGTGTGTTGGAAGGGGTTTTCTGAGGGACTCTGGAATAAACGGCAGGCACTCAGTGTACTGAAATTCACTCTGAGGGCTGAGAATGCCCTTGGACAGGGTGAACCAGTGGCACTTTGGGGTTAAGCTTAATGTAGCGCAAGGATTCACCTGGTGAATCCTTCATTCGTTGCTTTCTGGGGCTTGTTCTCTGACAAGTTTGCAGAAATGTCTTGTTCCCTGTTGTGGTTCAGAGCAGCCCTGTGGGGTCGGGGGTCCAGACTTTGCTCCCGATGAGGTATTTTATCACCAGGTGCTCGCTCACACAACAACCAGTGTTACAGGTAGCAGGGCTTGACACACTGCTGGTTCCTGATGTGGGTGAGGATTTTTTGTCCGAGACACTCGGAGCTGCCCTGGCTCACACCAGGACCGTGGGCTGGTTCTAATGGTTATGTGTCCCCCTCGGAGTGATGACAGTCAGGCTCCCCAGGACCCGGGGCTGTCAGGAGACAACCTGTGTTTCTGTAGCTGCAGCCCGGTGCTGTTACTGAGCCTCCTCCCTTTCCCACGTGCACATGGTATGGAGCAGAAATGGTAGAAGCACACGGTTTATTTCGGCATTCATTTCGCTTCTGAGTGGCAAACCAGCCTCCACCTGTAGTGCTGTGGTAAGCTGCTTTCTCTCCCCTCTTGCTGACTGTACAACTGTCTTCAGGCCTGTTCTTCCTGTGGTTTCCTTTGGTGGTTGGTTGTTAAGGGGAAACCATTCAGGGAGAAGTTAACTATTTTAACTTTTTGCTGAATGTGGGGAAGGGACCAAATAGAAGCTGTAAACGTGCAAAGAAAGCAGGCTCCAGAACGAGAGTCAGCCATGCATATTGTGGCTTTGCCTAAATAGAGAGGAAACACTACACTGCCAGAAATAAGGATTTTAGGGATGAAATTGCAGTCAAGTCTCTCCTTGCATGTCTCAGTCAGTCATCCCAATGGTTCAATAAAGGGATCTGTAATCTCTCTACAGCCATGCTAGAAATGCTCTGTTTTGTTTTATCGCGTGTCCATGGTGTTGCACTAAATCTGCTCCCATGCTGTGCCCTGCTGCCTTGCTCCGTGAGCTCGGGCTTGTAACAGCGCAGCTGGGGCGGCCAGCCTGACCCTGGCTGAGAACAAACACCCACAGCTCTGCAGTGGGACGGGGCCTTTGATCCCTGGTCAAGCACCGTGTCCTGATGGAAAAGGAGGACAAGCGCTTGCCGAGCAGCCAGCGAGGCAAGGCTCAGCAGTCCTGCTCACCAAATTAACACAGTCTCTGAAGCATAACCCCTTAAGCCATAGTGACCCGCCGACCTTGTCCAAACAAACATCCAGACAAAGGGTACTGTTGTACCTCAGCCTGAAAAGCATCAGGAGAGAGGGAGGTGTTACTGTTCTGCAGAGAATTGCATCCTTCTTGTAACAGGTACTTTAAGAGTAAAACAGGTTTTCTAACTCTTGCTGCCTTACTTTGTTTATTCTAGGGTGAAAGCGTCTTCTTTGTCATGACGAATCTGATTGTGACCCCAAATCAGAGGCAAGCCACGTGTCCTGAGGTAGGAAGAACTGAGCCCCTTGGCCCCCCGACCCCTACAAAACTGGGGGTAAGAACTGACAGAGGACACCTGGGGAGCAACGAACACAGGAAGGATGAAAGGCGAATGTTTTTTCTCTGTAGTGTGATATCTCAGTTGGGAAAATCGGACTGGTTATTGCAAACCTGGGAGGTTCAGCTGTCTTAATTTCCAGAGGCACTGATCATGTAGAGTCTTGCTGACTTTAGTTGAAGGTGTTGGACATCTGCCCAGCTGGAGATGAGACCAGAACAGTGATTGCTCAGGGTCAGAAAAGGCCATGGGAAAACAACTTTGAGGTGACTCAGTCTAGTTACGGGTAGAGGCAACTTTCTAGGAGCCCCATCCTGGGAAGGGCTGAACATTCAGGCTTTTGTTACCTTCAGGACATGGGAGGGTGCTTAGTACCTTCCAGAACATGCCTCACGGGCCAGAGGCATGAGGTCTTTCCACGTCATGTTGAAAAGTCCTCAGTGGAGACGTGGTTCAGAATGAGCTGGAGCCTGGGGGAGGAGGATGCTGGCCATCCAAGGAGTGTTGTCTCCATGTAGCAGAGATTAATTTTCCATATTGGAAGCAGAGGGGTAGCCCAGGCCGAGAGCACAGCTTGCTTGTTCAGGATGCGGCTGTCCTCTAGTGGCTGCATTAACTCGGCACGCAGCCAAGAGAAGGGTAATTTTGAGCTCAGAGAGCTTGTAGCTTAAATCAAATGTAGGGTTATCTCTTAAGGTGAAGTACTGTGGCCTCCTGCCTGGTTTTGGTGAGTGTTGGTGACGTCCGGGTTTTTCCACAGCCTGTCCCTCTCTCCAGACTGAGCAGAGCCCAAAAGCAGGACGTTGTAGCTGAAGCATGGTGTTGCTGGTGGTGTGGTACTGTCGAGCTATTTGCACACGACCTGCACGTTTTCAGTGTTCACCATTCTATAGAGGATTCACCCCACATCAGCAAGACTTTCTCACCCCTCTGAGTCTTGTGTCCTATTACAGGTCTCACTTCTGTCCTCTTCCACTTTGCAGAGTGTCAGCATTCCCGATGGCCTGTGTTACAAGGACGGGGACTGCCCGGCAGGGGAAGCAGTGGTCGCTGGCAATGGTAAGGGAAGGGTCCCTCCTCCTGTACTGTGTCTGGTGGGGGCAGATTCCTTCAGAGGCATCAGCCTAGTTACAGCCCCAGAGATCTCTGATTACAGAGAGCCGCAAGGACTTTCTTTTCTTTACTATCTTTTATTAAGATTGCTGCCTTGCTTACAGCTCTGTGGTGGCTGGGCCAGAGCACCCTGGGGCTGCTCAGAGAAGCAACAAGAGAGTGGTTGTTCCAGCTGAGAGGCCCTTTCACGGCAGGGAGGAGGGCTCAGGGTGGCAGTGAAAAGCATCTGATTTTCATGTGCCCCGTAGGCAAGGAGAGGAGGTGGCTGCTCTGTGTGACCTTTTCGGTGATGTCTGTGCTGCAGGGGTTAAGACTGGCCATTGTTTGAAAGACAGAGACAGCATCAGAGGGACTTGTGAGATACTGGCCTGGTGCCCAGTGGAGAAAAGATCCAAGCCCAAGTACGTGGCTGTCTTAAGCTGTTTCCAAGCTTGAGTTGCTTGGCTTGTGTCACTCAGGGCAGTTTCTGGTTTCCCTCTGCTTGGACGCTTGCTTGGCTTTTCCAGTGCAGGAGGGAGCTCTGCATGCTCCCCTGGCACGACTGGCCCTCTGCTCCCCGCTGTGTGGCTCACTGGCTGTCCCAGGGCTGTTTCCAGCCCTCAGGGCTTCCCCTCAACCTGCACGGTCCTCACCAACTCCTTGCTGGCAGTGTGGGGAAAGTGGCATGGCTGGCCTAGCACCATGGGATGAAACGTAGCTGTTTCTAAAATGGCAATTCCGCTTTAAACACGTGGGCAGGGTACGAATGTAAAACAGTAACAAACCCTTCTCTTCCAGGAAACCACTTCTCGCCAGTGCAGAAAACTTCACTGTTTACATCAAGAACTCAATCCGCTTCCCCAAGTTTAAGTTCTCCAAGTAAGTGTGGGTGCTCGGAGATCCCTCTGTCCTCTCCATCACAGAACCAATAACCTTGGTTCGCTCCACTGTCCTTCTCCTACATGGGGTGGGAAGGTGGACATTTCCTCTTCTAAAGCACAGGGAGAGGCCTTTGCCTTCAGGCTGTGTGGGAACAAGGAGATAATGAGGGCTTGGAGCTTCTCAGAGAGCAACTGGGATAAAGCTGTCCTTCACCAAATGAAGTCTGCGATGGCTCCTATAGCATGGGATGCACCAGAGCTTCTAAGGCAGATGGCTCTGTCCACTGGCCAGTGCATAGTCAGGTTCCTGAGCTGCTTCTGCTCCCAGATATTCCTCCTCTTCCATAAAAATGAAGGTGCCTGGACAAGGGTGGGAAAATGCAAATTTAAAAATATTTGTTTGCATTTGCTGCTACAATATGAACAAAATAAAGAAGTGTAGAAAGGAGCGTGTTCTTGCTATTCTCCCAGGCTCAGCTAGACATTTCTAGCATCTTTATCTTTTTCCTTGAGAAAACCAGGTGGCCCTGGAGCACTCTGGCAACTTGCTCCATGTGAGTCCTTTCCTGAGCCCAGATTCAGCTGGCCTAGTCCCTGGCTGGCCTGCAGGTCATTTTTGTGTGGGCAGACTGCTTTCCCTGGGCCAGCAGTGGAGAGGCTCGCAGGGTGACAAAGTGCCATTTCTGTTGTGCACGAGGGGTGTTGGAGAAGTCTCTTGTCTCTGCAGTCTTGGTGGCGTAGGCTGTGCAGGCAAGCAAAGAGGGAGACAAGGTGGATTTCCCTCTTCTCTACGTGCAGGATGAATGTGCTGCCAACTGACAATGAGTCCTACCTGAAGAGCTGCCGCTATAGCACGGAGCATCCCTACTGCCCCATCTTCCTCCTGGGGGACATTGTCCGGTGGGCTGGGAGCGACTTCCAGGAAATGGCCTTGGAGGTAGGAGTGCCCCTCGGGCTTATGTGTCTTCCCAGCTGGCCGTACCGCTCGCGGGGTGGCCGTGAGGAGAGCCTCCTGTCGAGGGTGCAGTGGAGAGATGCTGGTTCTTAAAATCACGCTGGTCCCATTTATCCTGTCCCCAGGGAATGAGAGGCAGGGTGATGTAGGTCCTCTGGAAGAAATGGTTGCGTTAGTTATCTGTTATTCAGGGCTGCCCAAACCGCTGCTCTGCCAGCAGGGTTTCTTTGTTTAATTTCAACGTCACTAAACCGTTGGTTTAAACCCAGAACTCTGGAAGGCCAGTGGGGCTTCTCTGCTCAGAGAATGCCCCGGGAGGCTTCCCCTGCGGGAAACGGACATGTTTCTGCATGGAGTCCTGGGGCTGCAGCGCCGAACAGGCTGCGACCCAGTGTGCAAAGCACGGGGGGGGAGATGGAGCCCAGTCTGAGGCATCCCGGGAAGCACAGGGTGAGAAAAGTGCAGGCTTTGTGCTGGCTTCTGCTCTTGTGAACTTCATCCCTGCATAGAAAAGCATCTTCTCCACTGAAGTATGTTACAGCCACTAAAATTAATGAAGTCAGTGTCCTGGGATGAGAAACCTCCTCCTAGGATATCAGCACAGGGAAAACTAGGGTTGTGTGTACAGTAATGTGACTGATATCATAAGCATGAACTTAGCCCATCCAGAAGTGTGTGTGCTTGTGTCTGTGACCAGAAATGCAGCTGTTCTTGTCCCTGGGGAAACCTTGCCCAAGGATCTGACAAATGTGAAGACACATTAATTGAACTAAGCTTAAAAAACTCACACTGTCTCTCTCTTTCATTAAGGGTGGTGTGATAGGAATTCAGATTGAATGGAACTGTGATCTTGATAAAGCCCCTTCTGAATGTAATCCTCACTATTCTTTTAGCCGGCTGGATAACAATTTTGCAGAAAAGTCCATCTCTTCTGGGTACAACTTCAGGCAAGTAAAGAAGAGAATATGAAGCAGTACTGCAGTTGGGCTGAGGTTTGACTCGCAGGCGTTCGAAGTAATACCAGATCAGACTGTGCCAGGCGCTGCCCCAGCCAAGCACGCCGCTTCAGTGGAGGGAGGGAGTCCTACTCATGGCAAGCTAAAGCTGTTTTTGATGAGGGAGTAGATCTGTTCAAACAGATAGGTGAATTCAGATGAGTTCTTGTGGGGGGAAGGGGGGTGATGATGGAGTTAAAATCAGCATTGTTGTATTCCAGGTTTGCCAAATATTACCGGGATGCTGAGGGGGTCGACTACCGGACGCTCATTAAAGCGTACGGAATCCGCTTTGATGTGATGGTGAATGGCAAGGTGAGGTCCCAGGCCGGGATATTTCAGAGCCTGGAGAGAAAAAAGGTGGGAGACGTGTCTCAGTGGGAAGGCAGCTCTGGGATGAGAACAGCCTCTCTGGCTTGTTGTAGGAAAGAGCTCTTGCCATTCATCCATGTGGAGCTAACCCTACATAAGAAAGGAGACGACCTGGAGTACGAATGAGTCTGCATCTCTTCTACCTAAAAGCAGGCTCATGTAAAGTCCAACCGAAGTAAATATGCCCCAGAGACTTGTTTTCCATGCATATGCACTGCAGAAAAAAAGACGCCTAATCCAGGGATGACTTAAGCTCAGAAATGCAGCCATGGACAGTTGGGTCTGAGACACAGACCTTTAGCCTCCAAGACTGTTCACTGCAAATCTATGATTGCGCCTGCTTATTGCTAACAAAACACACCCACAGGCACTAGTAGCTTCCCCCGTGTAATACCACACCCTTAAGTTTGTTTCTTGGGTTGTTCTTTCACCAAGTACTTCATGACCTTTTTTCTTTTAGGCAGGGAAATTTAACATCATTCCCACCATTATCAATATCGGTTCAGGGCTTGCTCTCATGGGAGCGGTAAGTGAATGCATTTTCTTGAAGTAACATATTGGGACCCAGATCCCTCATTTAGCTGTTTGGAGGATAAAATGGGATGGTTGGTTTGTATCTTCTCCAGTAGAGTTTTTGCTACTCTGACTGCTCAGTCAGGTGTGTGTCTGTGTCCTGTCTTAACGGCATTTGTTCCTGTACCTTGTGGTCTAAATACCCCTAAGATTACATGGAGTGTGAAGGAAAATACAGCTCCTGCAAGTTATTCTTCTTTAATTAATGCTCATTGCTAATTAGATCAGAAAACTTCCTCTTCTACTCTAAAGATAAACCACAAGTTCTTTCTGTTTGCAGGGAGCTTTCTTTTGTGACCTGGTGCTGCTGTATCTGATTAAAAAGAGTAACTTTTATCGAGGCAAAAAGTATGAGGAAGTAAAGTAAGTGGGCTTGGCTTTTGTGTTTAAATGTAATGGCTTTATTGCTATGCCTAATAGAAATAGAAGCAGATACGGGAACACAGTAAACATTAATGGCAAACAAAGGCCAATTCCAGGAAATTAAATTCCTCCAAATGAGTTTAGCCAAGTTCCTCCCTCCCTCTGTAATTCGTTGCTGCAGTTAGCTGGGGAGCAAAGAAAGCTGCTGTGTCATGGTTGGACTATAAATGGCCTTGCACTGTCAGTCCATAATGACTGCGGATGAAATTGGGGCAGCTCCAGAGCCTCATGAAACTGAGAACTGGGGCTTTAATGTATGGAGGGTGATGGCCTTTGTGGTAAGGTGTGACAAGCCTGGCTGGGACTTCCTTGCCCATATTGCTTCCTGAAACAGAAGTAGCCTGCTTGCCTTGTCTGTTACCTTTCATAGAATCATAGAATCATTAAGGTTGGAAAAGACCTCCAAGATCATCGAGTCCAACCGTCAACCCAACACCCCCATGCCCACTAAACCGTGTCCCTAAGCGCCTCATCTACACGTCTTTTAAATACCTCCAGGGCTGGTGACTCCACCACTTCCCTGGGCAGCCTGTTCCAAGGCCTGACCACTCTTTCAGTAAAGAAATTTTTCCTAATGTCCAATCTAAACCTCCCTTGGCGCAACTTGAGGCCATTTCCTCTCGTCCTTTGCTTGTTTCCTCAGGTCCAGTTCCAGGAAATCGTTATCTAGCCCTACACTGAATGGGAATCAGAGCCCTGACCAGCTCGGTGGGCTCTAGGCACAGCGATGGGTCTGCCAGCTGGACTCGTGTTGCAGGAACACCACACAGGTGTGCAATCGCACCAGGACTGGGAGGTGGAGATACCCCAGATCAGGTCTACTGTCTATTATCAGGATTCCCAGAGGAAAAAAAAGTCCTTTAAAAGACCGCCCTTCTTTCCCTGAGATGTTCTCTGGTATCCCGAGCTTGCAACAGTGTGTCATCACTATGGATTTATAAAAGGATTTTATAAAAGGAAAAAGAAGGCACCAAATGAATGTTTTTATATCTATTGATAGATATAGCTGTACCTACATCAATAGCCAGCGTTATCCTGTGGCTGTGCTTTGCTTCCATGTGCGAAAGAGCCGTGATGTGAAACACCACTGGCACTTTGAGGAGGGCTGAGGCTGAGATTCAACCTGTCTCCTGCTCCACTGGCTTGCGGCCACCGCTTCCAACTCTCACTTGTGTTACTTGCAAGATTAGATGTAAAGCAGCAGGACTGCTCTTGTCGGGAACTGCGAAGAAATGCAGCATTTCAGCAGCTCTCAGAGCCCGGGGAAAGGGGCTTATTCTACAATGCCTGTGCTGACTGGGCCTGTGCCAGAGTTGGGGCAATTACTCTTATTGCGGGGTGTGTGTAACCATTAGGGCTAGAAACGGTGCTCCTCCAGGAAAAGCCTTCGCAACAGCTGCCACAAGGTGCTCTGCTCGTCTCGGGAATAGCAGGAGAAGGTCCTGCCGCAGCTCTGAACGGAGAATCAGTTCAGCCATGGCTGGGTCCCAGCTACCTCGCCTGCTACCCACCGTTTCCATTTGTAGTTGGCCCAAGAACCGACATTTCAGAGCACAGAACAGGTAACAGGCAGAGGAGTGTTTTGAAGCAAGGCAGGGACAGATGTTTTTGTGGTTGACATTGGGGGGAAGAGGGGGTTAACGCACTGAAAAGCAGCGTGGCACTGGGAGTGTCTCCACGGAGACAGTCTTAGGTTCTCCCCCCTTTGTTCAGTGGCTGGTTTAATTTCCTCGGGATTGTCCCTTCTGCATCACTTACCAGTTGCTCATGGTGGGGAGAGATCTGGATGGGGGACTTAATGCTTCTGCTGTTTTTCGTAGTACCCTGAACTGTACGGCAGAGACTGAAAAGGGGGGCTCTATCAGGTGAAACAGACTTTGCCAGGTTCTTCCAAATATACCAACAGGAGGAAAATTTAGAAGGCAGATGCCTGCTATTCCAACACTGGTAACTTCCAAGAACTACTAGTGCTTCTTTGTTTCTCAACAGAGCAATGTCTCATTGCAGCCCATTTTGTGAATTTATGCTCATGTGGGGATGTAACTAATCTCAGAAGAGAAAAGTGCTTATAGAATGTCATTGTTTAAAGTTTGTATTTGCTTGAGCTGACAGGAACCGACTCACCAGCTCCTGAAGATAGTAGGTGAATAAACATTCCCGCCTCATTTAAAGCTTCCACACCATGGCTTGGTGCAAACTGGTCAGTGTTCTGTAAATGCTGCCAGGTCGCCATTGATCAGTTGTCATGACAAAGATTAAGTGTTTCTGTGCACTCTTTGAGTATCAAGATTTCAAGGACTCCCGCTGCAGCATCTTGACTTACTGCTAGGACAGCTGTAGCGAGAGTGGCGTTACAGAGAGCTGCTGTCATCAAGCGTTCTGCACAAATGGAAACAGCGAGCTGCGCTCACCTTTGGTTTAACTTCTTTAAGGTGGTTACTCTAAATTAAAATTCACCTTTGTTAGCAGCGGCAAACTCCAAATCCAGTCATTGATAGCAAACCCCACCCACTCTAGTCCACTCCCTCTGCTGCTGTTCAGATGCAAGTAATTATGGAGTCAAACATTTAGCTAGAAAATAGAATTAACAGTGGACTTGTAATATTTTAGGATAAGCTGTGTACCTCTGATGCTATAATCATATCCAAAGCCTCCTCTCTTCATGCCAGAAGTCTCTCCTCTAGGCAAACACGAGTCACCGTGTGTATAACTGCACTAGTCAGGCCTATCAGTATTACCATGCCAATAAAACAGCACAAGCTTTTGACTGTCGGAGCTTAATTCTATTTGAATAATTCCTAGATGGTGAAACACGTGGTGAACTCCACATGTGACACCAGGCCAAGGCACAACTCATGGAGACCAAGTAGCTCATCCTAACACGTTAAGCTGACTGTGCTGCACTGAAACCAATGTTTCAACTTGACAAAACAACATCCTTCTTGGATGACCAAAGCGATTTCCTGAATTGAAGTCTGCAGGGGCTTCACACCCCCAGAAGTCCCTAGAATATTTCCCTTCTTTATACCATCTGTTTAACACAATTCCCACAACCATTGCTGTTGATGAAACATAACCAGATTCCTTTTCAGGAGCTTGTTTATTTGAGTTTGATTTTTTTTTTTCCTCCTTGTATTTAATGTACAGCAATAAAATTTGTCACTTTAGGGCAATGCTCTCCAAGACTCTTTTGTACAGTGTGTTTTTACCACACCTTTTCTTTGTGATACACACTTATGTTAAGCAAGTCAATTAAACACTAAGTTTGCACAAGCAGGACTATAGCAAAGATATTACCTGTATGGTGGGTGATCAAATTTTCCTTTCTGTTCTGCCAGAGACGTATGGAACCACAACAATGCACTGTTCAATTGTGGAAAATGCCAGCAGGCTTACAGGTGTGTTCAGTACAGGCTGAGCAGGTAATGAGATGCTGCACTTACTTGGTTGTCTGCGTTTCATTGGATACTAAAAAGGAGCAAAGTGTTTGACTTGTATTGACTTTTGTACATGCCAGTGAAGAGCATCTGGGACAATGTCATTTATTGATACTATGTACATACAGCAATTGTGGAAATAATGTTTACACTAGCAACTCAATTAGATTTCTGTACCAAACCTTTACATATGCTTAATTACATGCTACAGTGCAGTATTTCCTTGTGTCTGTGGATTACTTTTTAAGAGTGCTGTGTAATACGCTGCTCTCATCAGTATTTGTGTGTAGGGACAAGCAGCAAACCTAGAAGGGACTGTAATTGTTACATCTTATCCAAAAGCAAAGGATGCAAGGGACTACCTTAACCAAAACCCACGGCTGTGCCTGCAATTAGGGGCAGAAGTTATTCCTTAACCACCAAACAAATATTCATGGGAGGCATCTGTTTCACATTCAGTTTAATTAGAACAGTCCTACCAATTCATTTGTACTTGGACATAATTTACTGACAGTATTAACAATACAAGCGATGAACAACTGTTTAAGAGGTAAGCTGGCCTAGTTGTGTAGATGACTTTTGGCAACAGTCCTCCTGCTTCATTAAAAACCACTGCAGCTAATGTGGCTCCTAGTTGTTTTAGTAGACATGAACCATGCCGTACAGGAAAGTCCAGAACAGGACATACGTGAAGAGCCCTCCTATAAGCCCCCCCGTGAAAAGCGGCCTTCGGGATTTAAAGTACTTATTCCATCGCCGTCCGGCTTTTAACACCAAGAGCACGGAGAGGAGGACGGAAGCCAGGAAGTAGAAGATGAAGCCGTGCAGGCCGGTCAGGCCGAGGATC